ATTAGCCCATCTCACCTGAGCACTGGTGCTGGACCTGACTCTTGAACTGTGTGCTCCGCTCACTTCTTGGAACCATCTGTCCAGGCCCCTCCCTCCTCACCAACCTTGGCAAAGCACCCACGCTGCTGTCTGAACCCTTCCCACACAGAAGGCACCCCTGAGGCCCAGGAAGCAGCATCCGCAGCAGGCATGTTTACTCACATACTAGCTGATCTGGAGTAGTCCTAGATGAGGAAGAAGCCAGGCCCCAGGGGGAAGTGATGAGCTCACCATCAGTGAGTGACTGGACTGGACCCCAAAGCCAGCACAGCACAAGACATCAGCCAGTCTCCGCTCTGGGCCGGCACACCTGAGTCCTGTCCATTGTCTGCCACCATTTATGGTGAGGCTGAAGTGGGACGAGGCAGCTAATTTTTCTCTGAAAATAGAGGGTAATTTAAAATCCCTTCCTTTCTCACAGAAAATAAAGTCTGGAAAGTCCGGTGGGAACTCTGCTTTGGTATTTGTTTCTTGTATGCTTTTAAAACATTTGGTATTTGTTTCTTGTATGCCTTTAAAACAATAAACTATTTTTTAATGTTTATTTATTTTTGAGAGACAGAGCATGAGCAGGGAAGGGGCAGAGAAAGAGAGAGACACAGAATCTGAAGCAGGCTCCAGGCTCTGGGCTGTCACCACAGAGCCCGACGCTGGGCTCGAACCCACAAACCATGAGATCATGACCTGAGATGAAGTCAGACGCTCAACCGACTGAGCCACCCAGGTGCCCTCAACAAACTATTTTTTAATGTTTATTTTTGAGAGAGAAATAGAGAGCAAGCAGAGGAGGGGCAGAGAGAGGAAAACAGAGAATCCCAAGCAGGTTCCACTCTGTCAGGGCAGAGCCAGATGCAGGGCTCAAACTCATGAATCGTGAGATCATGTCCTGAGCAGAAGTCGGATGCTTAACCGACTGAGCCACTCAGGCACCTGAACAATGAACTCTTTAGAAATGGGGAAAGGTGAGGGGTAAAACGGTTGCCTGTTCTGGCAAGTTCTGTGGGAGAGTCTGGGGGGTGGGGAGTGACAAAACTTCACAGTGCCCACCAGGTTCCTGCTTAGCACACAGCTGTGCCTGCTGGCTTCCAACTGATGTTCCCACTCTGCCTTGGTCACATACACCCCAGCGCGTTCACATGCGTGCATGCACACACACGCACCGGCCCCACTCTCACATCTGCTCACCAACCTCCCGTTTCCCGATGTCAGGGAGAGAAAGCAGCAGTGTTTTATGCTCATTCACTGCCCAGCTGATTTGCCTCCTAAGGGTGCACCCAAAGGCTGCCTTCTCCATTCCTACGACCCACCCCCAGCTTTGCCTTTACCAGCCTCCTGGTCCTCGATGCGTCAATTTCCTCCCCTAGGATTCTTCCACCAGACATAATGCTAACCTCCCAATCTGCCCCACGAGGCTGTTGGGAAGCACACGATGAAGCCACATGCGCCATCTATTCCTCATACTTGCCCAGGCCAGGCTCATGTCCCTATCACAGACTTCCAGCTTGCTGTTCTCTGTGCCTGAAAAGCTGGCCCCAATCCGAAGTGCCGACTCCTTCTCATCCTCCAGGCCTCTGCTCAGTTATCTCCTCCCAGAGGCTCCTTGACCCTCCCATCTACAGCACCACCTCCCCCCTCACTGAGTCTCTCTGTGTCGGGTCACCTAGCTTGGCTCTCCTCTCCGCACATACCACTTCTTGGAGACATCGTTTTCATTTCTCCGACGGCTGTAGTGGATGATCGAATTCAACCATGTAAAAGAATCACAGGTCACAAAGGGCTGTCCGCTTGCGGTTCTTCCAGAACCTCCGAGCCACATAATGCCACATGGTACCTGGAGACTTTTCTCAGGAGATCTAGTCCTGATTCCTGCCCTCTGCTCCTTAACAGATGATTCACATACCATACAATTCACTCTTTTCAAGGGTACAACTCAGTGGTTCTTAGGGTATTCACAAAGCTGTGCAACCTTTGCCCCATCTAAGTCCAGAACATTTTTATCACCCCAAAAGGAAACCCTTTACTTCTGGCACTCACCCTCCCTTCCTCCTTCCCCCCAGCCCACGGCAGCCACTAATCTACTTTCTGTCTCTATGAATCTAGGTATTTTGGAGATTTCATAGGAATGGAATCATATAATCCATGGCGTTTTGCATCTGGATTCTTTCACTTAACATGTTTTCCTTTTTCAAAACTTTTTTCCATTTTATTTACTTTAGAGAGAGGGAGAGAGAACAGAGGAGGGACAGAGAGAGGGAGAGAGAATCCCAAGCAGGCCCCACACTCAACATGAAGCCTGATGTGGGGCTCGAACTCAGGAACCATGAGATCATTACCTGAGCTGAAATCAAGAGTTGGACACTCAACCAGGGCGCGTGGGTGGCTTAGTCGGTTAAGCGGTTAAGGGTCTGACTTTCGCTTAGGTCATGATCTCACGGTTCGTGGGTTCGAGCCCCGCGTCAGGCTCTGTGCTGACTGCCAGCTCAAAGCCTGGAGCCTGTTTCAGTCTGTGACTCCCTCTCTCTCTGACCCTCCCCTGCTCACACTGTCTCTCTCTCTCTCTCTCCTAGAAATAAATAAAACATTAAAAAAAAAAAAAAGAGTTGGACACTCAACCAACTGAGCCACCCAGGCATCCCAGCATAATGTTTTCAAGGTTCATCTGTGTTATAGCGTGTATCAATATTCATTTGTTTTTATGGCTGAATAATGTTCCATTGTGTGGGCATGACACGTTTGATTTATTCAGCCATCAGTTGGTGTACATTTAGGTTGTTTCCAGCTTTTAACGATTATGAATAATGTTGCCATGAACATTTGCATTTGTATACACCCAGGACAGAATTACTAGATCATGTGGCAACCACACGTTTAACATTTTGAGGAATATCAAATTGTTTTCCAAAGTAGCTACACCATTTTACATCCTCATGAGCAATGTATGTGCTCTCCAATTAATGTAAAGAGTCTTGAATGTTCAGTGTTATGAAAAAGAAATATGGGGGGTGAGGTACAGCAATCATATTTTCCCCTCTCCATGAGATACATTCAGTCGCTCAGCTAATATTACTTGTCTAATTTGTAGCTGGTAGCATTGCAAGTGCAAAAATCTGTCTTCCTGAAGCTTAAGTTTTCTCAAGATGGGGAAAGGAAGAGTCAGACAGTAGGGAAAGATTATGCAAGGGAATTGCAATTGTAATGAGGTTTATTATCAATGAAGGCTTCAGTGAGAATCAAAGACATGTAGGATGTGAGGGATTGGAGCTTGTGGCTATCTGAGGAAGAGCATTCTGGACAGAGAGAACAGCAAGTGCAAAGGCCTTGAGGCAGGAGCGTATCTAGCATGTTCAAAGAACATAAGAGGCCGGGACAGCTGCAATGGGTTGAGCTGAGGGAGCAGAGCAGAAGAGGAGAGTGCGGAGGTGGGGAGGTGAGAGAACCAGATGCTGCACCATTTAGCTTCTGAAAGAACTCTGTATTTTTACTCTAAGTAAGATAGGAGGTCATTGTAGGGTCTCGACCAGAGGAAAGACAGCAAGAAATCTGGCTTGCATTTTCCAAGGATCATTATGGAATATGAGAGAGGAGATGAGTGACCCCAGATTTTGCCCGAGCACCTAGAAAAGATGGAGTTGTCAAACACAAAGATGGGAGAGAAGGGAATTCAAGGGGGGGACCTATGCTCAGGTCACCTTTGAAATGTCAACATCTTAGTGAAGATGTTGAATGGGCAGTTGATTCAAAGATTCTGGGGTCCAGGGTGATATATGCTAGCAGTACAAAATCAGGCATCATCCATGTAGAGGTGGCATTTAAGCCACAAGAGGAGAGGAGAGATCAACGAGGGAGAGGCTCCAGAGAAAGAAACTCAAAACCAAGCCCTATGGCCTCCAGCATTTCAATGTCAAGAAAACCCCCTTAATTTTCTTTCTTTTTTTTTTTTAATATTTACTTATTTTTGAGAGGGAGAGACAGAGCTTGAGTGGAGGAGGGGCAGAGAGAGAGGGAAACCTAGAATCGGAAGCAGGCTCCCGGCTCTGAGCTGTCAGCACAGAACCCAATGCAGGGCTTGAACTCAGGAACCGTGAGATCATGACCTGAGCCAAAGTTGGACACTTAACTGACTGAGCCACCCAGGCGCCACCTCCACTTAATTTTCAATCAAAATTGTATCCATCAACCTATAGTTTCCTTCCACCCTCTGTCTCAGCCCCTCGGTAACTTCTACCGTTTCCTTCTACCTGAAATGCCTAGAACCACCTCTCCTTCCCAGTGTGGCAAACCTCCCGCTTTCCTTCCTCCGAAGCCCCCTCCACTCTTACTTCTTTCCTCCCACATAACGCATTCTCAAAGGTGAGAGTGCAGGAGCAAGCCTTCACCAGCTCTCCTGACCAATCACGGCTCCTCTGCTTCTCTTAGATCAGAGGGACCCACAAGTCTGTCCATTTGGAATTATCAGCCCCTGGGTGGTCAGGAATTATGCCTTTTTTTTTTTTTTAATATTTTTATTTATTTCTAGGAGAGAGAGAAAGACAGCGTGAGCAGGGGAGGGTCAGAGAGAGAGGGAGTCACAGACTGAAACAGGCTCCAGGCTCCGAGCTGGCAGTCAGCACAGAGCCCGACATGGGGCTCGAACCCACGAGCCGCGAGATCATGACCTAAGTGAAAGTCGGACGCTTAACCGACTAAGCCACCCAGGCGCCCCAGGAATTATGCCTTTTATGCCTTGTGTGGGGCTCCTTTAGGAAGGCACCCTTGATATTTTCACACGGGCAATGGTGGGCACTGAAACCCCGGGAGAGGAACAGAGTAGATGACACACACAGACTCACTATTTGGAGAAACTACTTAGAAATGGAGGCTCCTGCTCAGCAGGACCGCTTGCTGGGCCCCCTTTTTCCTCCGCCAGCCCTTTCTTCCTGCCCCAGAAGCCCTTCTCTAGGACAAACCCAGGCCCAGCTCACCTGCAAGATGGAAAAGGAAGAAGAGCAGGAACAAGTGCATTTTGTTTTCACCCAGGCCCCCCATTGGCAGAGCCAGTCAGCTCCGTCTCAGCTCCTGCATCTTCCAGCCCTTCTGCTTTCTCTCATTCTTGCACTTCCTCCTTTGGCCACTTCCCACCAGTGAATAAGCAAAAAGAGGAAGGAGGTAGAACGGGTGAAATCTCAAGGCAACAAGCAATGAAACAAGTCACAGGGATCATGAATAAGCTTTTGAGAAATACCTTCCTGTCTGCAGCCATGATGGATTCTCTAAAAAGAGGACTCCGCCTCTCCGAGGCCTTGTGGAAATTTGCAGACTCAGACCCAATGGGTCGGGCTGGCTCTTACCCAATTCTTCTCCTCTGGTGGGAAGACTGGGTGGAGGGAGCCCAGCTCCATCCCAGAGGGCTTGGAGAGCCAAGACTGAGGGACACAATGCCAGAAACATGAATTTCAGGTGCAGCCTTTGGAGCCCAGAAGGTCAGGAGCTCAGCTGTGGGGGAGGTTGGGCCAAAGCCGGAAAGGCAGAGGAGAAATTCTAGACCAGAGACTGGAATGAGAGGGTGGAGGGTATCAAACCCCAGACTTCAAAGAAGAGGGTTAAAAGAGTAGAGAGATGTGAGCAGGGAACCTACAGTCTGATGGGCAAGAGGGGCCTCTGTCCTCAGAACATACTGGAAACCCTCATTGCTGTGCTCCAGACCACCAAGTGAAGGCTTGTGGATATTGATACCAGCCTGAATCTTCCAGATACTTGTCGGTTCTTCCAGGGGCTCCTTCCTGAAGAAAGCGGCTCATTGCTCATGGCTATTTATTCCTCGCTCCACACCCCCACCTTACAATAATGACCACACCCCCACCTTACAATAATAAGGGCACCACCAGCTTTGTGTGCTTTACTCTTCTTTCTGATTTTATGCCCGTCCCCGATCCTCCCCATCAGGATCCCAGCAGGCCCTGGGGTGGAGCACAGAAGCTAAGAACAGATAGGGCCCTTTCTCATACCCTGCTCCTGGAGCCACTTTTACTGTGTGTCATACATAGGCTGTGACATCTTGAGAAGCGAGTGAGTCCCAAGGAGGGACATAAGCCCCTCTCACCGTGATCAGGAAAGAGCAGGTGTGCAGGAGGCTTGTTTACATAGAAAAATACAACAGCTGATAAGCCTAGCTGTTCCAGGATGTAGCCAGAGACAGCCTTTCATTTTACATAGTTCCAGACCACAAACTAAGATCAACAATCCCGAGGGAGGGCTCAGGTCAGCCCTCTGTCCCCACTGCTTGACCAGCCCATCCTCTGCCCAGCGCACTGTACAGTTAGGCTGAGAGACATTGGCCTCTACAAACAGAAACACTATTTCTCTTCCAGGGGAAATGACTGGAATTAAGCATGTTGGGGCGGTCCTAAAAAACAGGGGAGCAGATGTTTTGAGAGTTGCAGGTAACCTTTCCTTTCTTGGGCGTATTTGGTAAGGAGTGACCAGCATCTGAGGTACTGCCTGTGGCCCTGCCCTCACTCCTGGGCCCAGCTTACCCAAGGAGGATTCCCTTTTGCATCAAAAAGAGAGAATTGTCTGAGTGGAAACAAATGCCTCTGGAGACTAAAGGAAAGTCAGGCTGTTCTGGGGACCCTGAATCCTCAACGACCTACTGGGGGCCTTAGTCCCAGCTTGGCCATTGACTTCTGCATGAGACAGTTCCCTCCATGGGTTCTCATGTTCCCATCTATGAAAGAAAGGATTAGGTGGATCATCTGAGGTTCCCTTTTCCTAAAGTACCTGTGTGTGTGTGCGTGTGTGTATGCACACACATACATGTGTGGTGCATCCATGTTTATATGTAGGCATGTGTGGGAGCTATATATACATACATGTATTGGCCTGTTAGTGCTGTGTGTGCACACATGTATGTTATTAATGTGTACATACACTGTATGTGCCATGGTAATTTGTGTGAACACATGTATGCATGTGTATGTATGTGTATTGCATGTGTATGTGGATGCATTTATTGGGTTCTCCTGGTTTTAAGGAACAGAGAGTTGCTCAAGCTATTTCTCTTGGTCACCTTGGACTTGCTGACTGCAATAGTTTCAGAACCCAAACTATTCATTGGTGGAGGAAGTCCTCGACTGAAAGAACTGGTTCCGTTGGGTCTCTCCCACTCTGGATTAGAAGATGCATGAGGGCTGTATCCTCAGTGGCTGAAAGCACATTTGGCACATGATAGATGCTCAATAAATAATTTCTGGAAAATGAATAAACAAATGAACTATTTTCAGCACGTTGTCATCCTTACCCCCTGGCCCTGTAAGGTCTGCTGAGGAACCGTGGACTGTCATAAACCATAACCATTCTCAACCACCATTCTGAACTTTTTCAGTTCACCTGGGACCCAACCACACTTCATCTCTTCTACCCGCTATGTGCTATGCTCCATATTTTATATAGTTATCACATCAGATCGTCACTACAAATATAGAGGAAAGGTGATGTTATTCTCATTTTTCAGATAAAGAGATCTAGGCTCAGAGAGCAAGTAACTGTCCAAGATCACATGCTAGTAATTAGCAAAGCCAGGATTCAAGGTCTGGCTTGTAAAGCATGCCATCCTGCCTCCTGCTGGAGGAGTTGAGAGAGAAGCTAGCTGCCCTTCGATCCTGCTCAGTGCTCACAATGAAGAGGGAATCTGACATCCAAGAGTTAATAAGACAGCACATCCTTGAGCTGGTTGTCAGCAGGGTATCCACTCTGTGGCTATTTCTAAAATAGGTTCCCCCAAAATGAAAGAATGTATTATCAAGAACTGGAAATTGATCTAGCAAAGCCAGTCACTGATAGTACTGACCTCCACATTTTCCAGATCTAATGCCCTTTTTTTGCAGGCTATGGAATGGGAAACTGAGTCTCCACCAAGTTCTTCTCCAGGCACTCCAACAGAGGCAAAGATTCTTTCTGAGAAAAACACAGATCTCCAAAGAGTGGGTTAACCTCTGCAAGTACGAGGTGAAGGAGCTCCATGAGATCTTTGAAGACAGAACGTAGGCTGCTTTACCACCCACCCCCTCAGGGTCTCACTGAAATCGACAAAGTGAAATTGCTACCATTCAGGCTCCCTCTGCCCAGAGAACTTGATCTTTTTTTAAGCGCCAAGTAGTGGGCTAGATTTATTTGGAAAAAATGAAACCAAGCATCAGTTAGGCTAGACATTGGCATTCCTGTTTGCTTTCATTTGCGTTACTCACCACAGACTGCCTCCAACACATATAGACATACTACTGAATTACAAAGGAATGTATGTTCATTACAGAAGGAGAATGGAATATAAATGAACATAAAGAAAACTTTTTATTTTTTTTTAAATGTTTTATTTATTTTTAGGAGAGAGAGACAGTGTGAGCAGGGGAGGGTCAGAGAGAGAGGGAGTCACAGACTGTGAAACAGCCTCCAGGCTCTGAGCTGGCAGTCAGCACAGAGCCCGACGCAGGGCTCGAACCCACGAACCGCGAGATCATGACCTAAGCGAAAGTCGGACGCTTAACCGACTAAGCCACCCAGGCGCCCCTAAAGAAAACTTTTTAAATCATCCTGATCCTCCCATGCAAAGACAACTGGTGGTAAATATATGTATGTGGGGGTGCCTGGGTGGCTCAATTAGTCAAGTGTCAGACTCTTGATCTCAGCTCAGGTCTTGATCTCAGGGTTGTGAGTTCAAGCCCTTCATTGGGCTCTGTGCTGGGCATTTTATATATATATATAATATCCAAAACCAACATTTTACTCTTTTCTGTGGAAAAGCAATTTATTCCAGGATAAGTAAAGGATTACTCATGTATGAATTTATTCCATTAACCAGTTTATTACACTTATTAGGGATTTTTAATACAGAAAAGTACAAAAAGAAAACATGGCTGATAATGCCCACTCTGAAATACTCCCAGTTAACACTTCTTTTTAAAAGATATGTGGGGGGCGCCTGGGTGACTCAGTCGGTTAAGCGTCCGACTTCAGCTCAGGTCATGATCTCATGGTTCATGGGTTTGGGCCCCGCTTCGGGCTCTGTGTTGACAGCTAGCTCAGAGCCTGGATCCTGCTTTAGACTCTGTGTCTCTCTCTCTCTCTGACCCTCCCCTGCTCACACTGTCTCTCTCTCTCAGAAATAATTAAAAAAAAAAAAAACATTAAAATATAATGCAAGCTGGGGTGCCTTGGTGACTCAGTGGGTTGAGCATCCAACTTCAGCTCAGGTCATGATTTTGCAGTTCATGAGTTCAAGCCCTGAGTCATGCTCTCTGCTGTCAGTGCAGATCCACTTCGGATCCTCTGTCCCCCCCTCTCTCTGTCCCTCCCCCACTTGTGTTCTCTCAAAAGTAAATAAACATTTTTTAGAAGGATATGGGGCACCTAGGTGGTTCAGTTGGTTAAGTGTCCTACATCGGCTCAGGTCATGATATCACGGTTTGTGGGATGGAACCCCGTGTCAGGCTCTGTGCTGACAGCTCCAAGCCTGGAACATGCTTTAGATTCTCTGTCTCCTTCTCTCTCTCTTCCCCTCCCCAACTTGCCCATGCTCTCTTGCTCACTCGCTCTCTCTCAAAAATAAATATATAAGCATTAAAATAAGTGAATAAATAAACAGGGTAGAAAGAGATAAAGCAAAAAGTAAAACTCTTCTCTCCATTTCCTGTCCCGTAGTCACTGTCAGTCTTTGCTCCCTCCCCGTAGAAAAGCATATACACCCATATAATTGCATTATTTATCTAAGTGAAGTCAACATAAGTCCGCACACAAGCATATCTTCTTGCCCCTTCTTCTTTTATCCCATAATATCATTTTTCCCAAACAGCACATATAGATCTACCTCATTCATTTGTTTTTTCTTAAAGTAATCCCTACACCCAAATTAGGGCTTAAACTCATGAACCTGAGATCAAGAATCACATGCTTTACCAACAGAGCCAGCCAGCCAGGAGCCCCTACCTCATTCTTTATCGGCTTCACAGTGTTGCATTGCACGAATATTCTACAGTTTATTTAAGCAGCCCGAGGTGCCGGATTATTTGCTCTTAGAAATGCTACGGTGAACATCCTTGCACACATCTCTTGGTGAACTGGTCCAATAAAGCCATAGAACTGTTGAGTCAAAGGAATTAGCATTTGTAACTTCGATAGATATTGTAAATTGCTCTTCAAAACGCCCCCACGTATGCTCCCACCAATAGTGTATGTGTGAGTGTCTGTTTCCCCAGTTCTCAGCCAATATTGACCATTACCATACTTTTACCAAAGCATTATGTGTTATACTGGTTCAGAGAAACATGCCAGGATGAAATATATTCAGAGATATTTAGCTCAAGGAATTGGCTTATGTGACTACGGGAGGCTGGCAGGCTGACAATTCTCAGGCAGAAGCTGATGCTGCAATTTTGAACAGAATTTCTTCTTCCTCGGGGAAACCTCAGTTTTGCTCTAAGTTCTTTCAATTAATTGGATGAGCCCCCTCCCAATTATTGAAGACTTACAAGTCAACTGATTGTATATCTGTAATATATCATCTGTACATCTATAACATACCTTTACAGCATCATATAGATTTGTGTTGAATTGAATAATGAGGTGCTATAGCCTGGCCAAGTTGACAAATTTACACACATTTACACACACACACAAAACCTACCTGATCATATTCTTTGTTCACTTTCCTACTGAGATTTTCTTCTGAGAGCGCTTTACATCACTATGTATATTAACCCTTTGTCTGTCATACATCTTGCAAATATTTCCTCTTGATCATTTCTCGCTTCATTTTGGTGTCTTCTGTCAGCTAGGAAATTTTTATGTCTGTGTGGTTCAATCTATCAATCTTTTTATTTATGGAATCTGAATTTCCTGTCTTGTTAAGAAGGTTACTCAGAGCCCGTTAGGAGCCAGGGCAGTCACCCCATTCCCCTACATGTTCCCCCAAATCAGGAAGTCACAGGAAAGCAGGGTGCTTAGGCAACATTTGCCCAGCTCCCATTGAGCTGAAGTGTGATTTAATGTCAGGCCCTGGCTTTTTGCAAGAGTCAATAGAAAAGCTATAGGAGAAGCTTCACATTTCCTGCAAAATCACAACTGCCTGTTTTGTCACTTGAGACCCCTTGTATTAGAAGCCACATAAGAGATTCCTCTCCACATCGCAGGCCAGCAGAAAATATTCACTGACTGAAAAGACTCAGGCAATAAGTACTACACACCTCATCTTGTTTCCCATTTTATTGCGGCTGCCAGGAAATCTAGAAGCAAATGTAATGCTCAGCTATAGGAACAAGCCAGGTCACTCTGGGGTGGAAGATTGCTCAAGCGGTACCTTTATCTGCCCTCTGGCATAGGCAGTTTTGTTGTTAACCACCTCAAATTATTTATGAAATGGATGGAGCCAAATATAAACATAAACCAAATGACTTAAGCCAGAACATAAACACTTGGTGGCAAAGTTGGCACAGAGGTCTCTGTTAGAACCATGATTAATTAACATTTTCACAAATGCTCCAGAGGAGGGAAAGTGCACTGGAAATTCTGGATCCAAAGTTGACATTCAGCTTCTCCAAGCAGTGAAATTTGGGGCTAACCTGGAGAAACTTCAGGAAAATCCTGGCAACTGTTGAGTGGAGAGAATAACTCCATTGTGTATCTAAGGTAACGGATTTAGGCAGACTCATCCGCAATGTTTAGAATACAAATGGACATTCATAGACCATATGTCTAAGTCAACCTTAAAAATGATCAAAACAAGGGGCGCCTGAGTGGCTCGTTCAGTTAAGCGTCCGGCCTCAGCTCAGGTCATGATCTCATGGTTCGTGAGTTCAAGCCCCGCGTCAGGCTCTGTGCTGACAGCTCAGAGCCTGGAGCCTGCTTCATATTTTGTGTCACTCTTTCTCTCTGCCCCTCCCCCGCTCATGCTCTGTCTCTATTTCTCTCTCTCTCAAAAATAAATATTAAAAAATTTTGATGATTGAATCAAGTGTGTCCTATCTTCCTACTTCCTACCTTGACAAATATATCTTCCTCCCAACCTGGAAGCCAGGTTTGAATGTAGGATTCTTATAAGTTCTGCACCAAAACACAGCAGCAACATCCTGCCCATACCCCCGGACAGGATTCAGCAGGACCTAAAACGCTGAACCTTGTCATCCCGGACTGTGTTCCCACTAAACCAGAGAAAGTCTCAAGAAGATGGAAATGTTTTCATATGAGGATAGAAGAAAGGGAATCCTTCCCCCTGAAAAAGAAAAGGAAAAAGATAAAGGGTAATAGAATGTCAGTGTGTTATATCCTTTAGTAAATGAAAAAGGTGGACATGAGTGGACTGAGCCTTCACATTCTGGAATAGTCTCTCTAGGAAGCCCTTCTTCAAGCCTGAGGAAGTTGGATTTGAGATGTAAATTGGTTTTTTTAGTTTATTTATTTATTTTTGAGAGAGAGAGAGAAAATGCGAGTGAGGGAGGGGCAAGGAGCAAGGGAAAGAGAGAGAATCCCAAGTAGGCTCCACGCTGTCAGCACAAAGCCAGATGTGGGGCTCAAACCCATGAGCTGTGAGATCATGTCCTAAGCTGAAGTCAGACGCTTAACTGACTGAGCCACCCAGGCGTCCCTGAGATGTAAATTATTAAAGCCACTGAAGACAACAAACAAATGGAGCCCTTTAGCTCAATAGGAAATAAAAGCTGAATCGAATTTGGTTTGGGAAGTGGGTGTGGGAGACCAGTCAAGGGACATTCAAAGTCTACATCACAAAAAATCCCATGTTTGCCCCGCTGCCGAGTCAGTGCCACTGTCAGAACCAAACAGAGTTGGGGCCATGGGTTCAATCCCAGGAGAAGCTGTCAATCATTATGCTTTTACATTTTTGGTTTTTTACATCTTTATGGTTTTACAAGTCCAGCTAGAGTTGGCACCTCTTAAACCTTTCCAATGATCTTGAAGGGTTGTCTTTGGAAAGTAGCTCTGATCCATTTTGAAACTAAGGCATTTACCCACTCATTCATTCATTCATTCTTTGAGAGCCTCTTGAGTACCAACCTCCAGGTGAAAGTATATTTCCTGTCTGTTGTTATGATTTTCTTCCAAATATAGCACCTGACCTTCCAGGCTAATTCTTTTTTTTAATTTTTTAATGTTTTATTTATTTCTGAGAGAGAGAGAGAGACAGCGTGAGCGGGGAGGGTAAGAGAGGGAGGGAGACACAGAATCCGAAGCAGGCTCCGGGCTCTGAGCTGGCAGTCAGCACAGAGCCCGATGCGGGGCTCGAACCCACGAACTGTGAGATCATGACCTGAGCTGAAGTCGGATGCTCAACCGACTGAGCCACCCAGGTGGCCCCCAGGCTAATTCTCCCTGCTACTTCCTCCATGTACAGAAGTAGCCGTGCCCTTCTTTCTGAAACTCTGCTCCCCTTGAAATATTGTATCTCCAATGCCTTGCTTCAGGGCCAAGTACAAACTCTTCCCAAGGCACATCTCCAGACATTCTCTTCCAAGAAGCTGGTGCCAAAGGGAATTACAAGTGCAGGATTTTATTAAGTGAAATACTTATGAAAGAAATAGGATAGAAAGCTGGGAGAGGCAGGGAGAGCCCGCAGATCATGATGCAGGTATGACCCCAAGGGCAGGAAGGTTGTGTGAAAATGTCCAAGACCACCATGTAGTCTCTGGAAGGATCTATAAAACTGTGAGGGAATCCTCAAGCCAAATTCAGCCATTAGGGGAATCCTGTGTCTCCCAGAAACAGACCTGCCCGTAAGACGCATGGCCTCGGTGCAAGCACGCTGTGGGGGACCACAGAGTCCACGGTGGGCCCTCGGTCAGTATGCCCTCTTGGTCGGAAGTCTGAGAGGCAAGTTCTCAGGGTCACTTCAGATGTCCATCAACATGGGGCGACAAGGTTCCTCCTATGCTTTCATGCTTCTTCAGTGGCCGTGATAGGAAATCAAGAGTTTGGGGTGTGTGTGTGTGTGTGTGTGTGTGTGTGTGTACATGCGCGCACATGTGCACTTCTGTGTGTGTGTGCGTTAGAAAGAGCCCGCTTCCACAGCCACCGTGGCATCTCAGAAGCACACCGCAGACCTTCACCCGTCTCTTGCTCCCTTTCAGACCATCCTGGTGGGTGACAGTGGCGTGGGAAAGACATCTCTGCTGGTTCAGTTCGACCAGGGCAAGTTCATCCCCGGCTCCTTCTCGGCCACCGTGGGCATCGGATTCACAGTAAGCCCTTCGAGACTCTGGGGCCCTGGTGTGTCTCTGTGAGGGTCCCAGCAGGAAACAGGTGGACATTCACATTGGATCATTCAGGGAGGTGTTTTTTTTTAATGTTTTATTTATTTTTGAGACAGAGAGTGACAGACTGTGAGTGGGGGAGGGGCAGAGAGAGAGGGAGACACAGAATCCAAAGCAGGCTCCAGGCTCCGAGCTGTCAGCAGAGTCCGAGGCAGGGCTCAAACCCATGAACCGCAAGATCGTGAATGACCTGAGCCAAAGTCGGATGCTTAACCGACTGAGCCAGCCAACGTCCCCAGGGAGGTTTAAGAAGACTACTTACCAAGGCGGAAGCAGGATATTGCGGAACAAGGAGGTATCATGCACTGGCGGTGCATAGCACAGGGCCTCCACTCCAGCCCTAGCCTAAAAACATGAGGAGGGAGCACCACCGCCAGAGCCTGGGGACAAAAGTCTTCATGGATAGAGCTAGCTGGCGGGAGCTGTGACCTTCAGTGGAGGAACACAGCAACTCATGGCAACCCTCCTGGGAGCTAGTCTGGGATGCAGGTCAGCTCCCTCCTAATTGCTCTCCTCCTGCCCCCACATTTCCTGGGGCTCCCCATTAGCTGAACACAACTGGAAACTAGAAAGAATACCTCTTTTATTTAAAAAAAATTTTTTAAATCTTTATTTATTTTTGAGAGGGAGACAGAGCGTGAGCAGGGGAGAGGCAGACGCAAAATCTGAAGCGGGGTCCAGACTCTGAGTGGTCAGCACAGAGCCTGACCCGGGGCTCCAACCCACGAACCGTGAGATCATGACCTGAGCCAAAGTTGGATGTTTAACCAACTGAGCCACCCAGAAGCCCCTGAAAACTTCTTCTTTTTTTAAGTTTATTTATTTATTTTGAGGAGAGAAAGAGGGAGAGAGAGAATCCCACGCAGGCTCTGCACAGTCAGCATGGAGCCCAACGCAGGGCTCGAACTCATGAACTGTGGGATCATGACATGAGCTAAAATCAAGAGTCAGATGCTTAACCAGCTGAGCCACCCAGGTGCCCCTTGAAAGGATATCTTGACACAGATTGCTCAGGTCTACCTTCTAGGGCAAGAAGAAGATGGAAAGGCAAAGGGATGGCTTAAAATTTTAAGCACAGTCCAAATTTAACACTGGCAACATTATCACATAGGTTCTACGGAGCTGGCAGGCCAAGGGTCAAAGTTCTATTTTTAGCACTCTGGCTCTTCCAGGATCTCCTCAGGATCAGGACAGAGCAGGGCACAGGGCCTGAAGGACCACACTCCCAGTGTGACTGGGATGGTCACGCTGACAGGAAGCAAGAAGGGGAGCCCCAGAAACTGGGCTTGTTGGCTGGGCCAGAGCAAGGACTCATGATGGCCAGGGATTCAGAGCAAAGCCGAAATGGGAGCCTGGCCAGTGAGTGTGCCAGAGCCTAGACTCCAGCTTGAGACACCAGTGCCCAGGGTCCGCCCACACCCGGGCTCCGGAGTGCTGGGAAGGGCAGGGCTGAGTCCCAGGAGAGCAAGGCTGCCCAGGCAATTCCTGGGGCCCTGGACCAGGCTGCCACACCAGGCATCCCCCACCTTGGGCCCGTGCCCAGTCTGCCCCTCAGCACACAAGGTCACGGGGAGCCCTCACAGCTACAAGCCTTCTCCCCGACTCCACGCCCATCCTTCAGCCTGTCAGACTCAGAGGGTGGACAGTGGGGTGAATGTGGGTGTGGATGTGGGCATGAAGACTGTGACTCACACTCCACAGAAGCAGAGGGGCGGGACCTCCAAATTTGCCACTCTCCTGGTAAGAAAAGCAAGGCATCTGGCCCTTAAGAAGGAAGAAAGTGTGTGATCACACTGCGAGCCTGAAGGAGGCTGAGACAGGACAGAGCTGGCTCTCCCAAACCTACCACAGGACAAAGGAGGGTCTTGGTTAAACCAACAACACAGCTGGAAGTTAGAAGCCCACATTTCCCCCTGAAGGCTCTGGGGGCAGGGGATGGGGGGGGGGGGTCCTTCCTTGCCTCCTCCAGCTTCTGATGGCTCCCGGCGATGTTTGCCATTGGTTGGCTTGTCGATGCACCACTCCGATCTCTGTGTCTGTGTTCACACGACCAGCTTCTCCCTGCGTGTCCACTCCTCTTCCTACAAGGACATCTGTCCTATTGGATCAAGGACCTACCCTATTCCTGTATGACTTCACCTTAACTAATCACACCTGCAACCACCCCATTTCCAAATAAGGTCACATTCTCAGGGACTAGAGGCTGGGACCTCAACAGAGGCTTTGAAGGACACCTGTAACACTGTGGTTTGCAGTGGAAGGTGAGCAAGGGCCATGCCACTTCCTCTCTCTCATTTCTCCTCGGCCATTACCCTCTGGCTCTGAATGTGTTCATAGCTGCAGGGTTCCCGTGTGAGCATTCCGGAGCTCAGAGCCTGACACACTGAATGTACTGGGGCGGTATCTGCAGCAAGAGACTCTTGCCTCCAAAGAGCAGGCGATAAACGCACCTCTGCAGAGTTCTGGGCCTTTCTCCGCTCCCATATAGGGCTGAGTCCCACCCTATGTATACAAGAGGTTATGGCAAGCCCAGCTCCAGAAAATAGCTCCAGCCAATGCCAACACTCAGAGGGCTAGAGGCAGGTGTACACACAGTCCCCATCAGACCTATAATCACTCCTAAGCCCCACCTGCCCCTTGTCCTTTACCCCACCCCCACTCCCACACCTAAGTCAAAAGGTACAGAGGCCCCTCTCTGCCCCCCCCCAACAGTCATGGGTCAGTCCCGCTATAATGCACCCACCCCGTTCCATGGTAAGCTATGTGTGCTTGTGCAGAATGTTGGCACAGGAATAATTAAGATTAGCCCCTGAGGCCCACCGTGGGCAGCCCAGGGCACGCTCCCACTGTCTGCCACCAGGAGCTGCAAGATTCCCGGGATGTCCTTGAGACTCTGCTCAAAATGACCCATGGCTCCATGAATTCATTTAATACTCAATATTTAAGGCCTGCTCAGGGCCAGGGGCTGAGAATCACGCAGTGAATAGGGCCAGCCCTGCCTTCAGGGGTGCCCTAGATTGGGAGGTTTGGGGTGAGGGGGAGGCTCTCCTATAATGGGACCTTCAGGACACAGCCCAACAGGTCAGGGAGAAATGAGAGGTGATCTGCACTAAAGGGTCAAAGTCCTAACACCCACCAAGGGGCCGCGAAACCCCACAATGTAAATGTGCTGCAAGGTGAATTTCGGTGGGTAAATAAAAATTACATTCAGAGGAGCTCGGGCTCGGGTGCATTAGCAAAAGCAAAACTGCCGGAGCGCTGTCCTCAGAATGCACGCCGCCTCTCAAAAGTCGCGCCCCGCTGCCCCCGGGGCGTCCCCAGCCCACAACCCCAACCCACCCCCTCCCCCAACCGCGACCCGGGGACGCCCGTTGGCCCCCAGCTGGCCGGAGCTCGGGCGCCGCCTGCAGGCCGCGCTGGGCAGCGGCAGCGGCAGCCCGGGCGAGCGACCCCAGGTCCCAGCGCAGTCTGGCCTTGCGCTACAGGCGCAAGGGTTTCCGGGGACCGCTCCCCGTGGGAACCTAACCCGGGCCGCTGGCGACCTTTGGGGACTGGTCCTCGGGCTGGATTCGGCCCACGTCCTCAGAGCACGAAACCGGGCCAATTTGCTCGGGGCTCGCCTGCCCCTCTGGCGCTGACCCTGCGGTCGTCCGCGCCCTCGAGACACAGCCTGCTCCAGGCAGGTGTCTTCTGGGTGGCGGGACGGAGGGAGGAGCCTGCGGGGGTCCGGGCTGCGGCGGTGGAGGGTGGGAGGATTGGGCGGAGCCTAAGGCGGGGCGGTCCCTGCGCTGTCCCCCGCCCGCCACCAGCTCTAGCTCACCTCTCGTCGAGGGGACGTGACGGGCATGTCTGGCGCCGCTGCCACCCGGGATGGAGAGGGGCCCGAGCACTCCCCGCCCTGCAGTCCGAGCTACGATGTCACGGGCAAGGTGGGTGGGCACTGTGCCCAGTACTGGGGACTCCCCAGCCGGCTCTGAGGGCCACCCCTTCCTGCGCCCTCTGCCCTGAGACCCTGGCCCAAGCCCCTTGCTCGCTGCGTCTGCGTTGCCTTTAGCCCTTCCCCCAGGGAGCCGGGTTTCCCGGAGCAGAGAGGAAGGGTGGAGACTGCCAAGGCCTGGGCTGGCTCAGCGAGGGTGGGAAGACGGAGATCGGAAGGAGTGATTGACCCCCCCCCGCACCCCCAGCGGACCGCACCCCAGGTTTCTCCTGCCGCACCCTCGTCGCTGTGATCTCCCGGGAACTCCATGCTTCTCCGTAAAGGTTAAGCGCCCAACGGTCCTGGCACAGGCATCCCAAACGCTGGGAAATAGAGAGGACGCCCCCTGGCGGCGGAGCAGTTGTCGTATATGCCCTTCTCCCAGCTAAGCTCTCAGCTGAGACTTCACTTCCAGTTTCAAGGCCTTAGGCCTGAATCTCTTTAGGTCCCCAGCTGCCCCCAAGCCCTACCCTTTCCCTTTCCACTCCTGCAACCACTCCTCCCACCTTCCTCCAGGAGGATGTTGCTAATCAAAATGCAGGCCCACCTGGGAATTTGTAGAACCCGAGAAAGATTTTGTTGGTTAATCACAAGTCCGCTGTGGAGAGCTGAAGTCTGCTCTCTGGGGCCCGTTCCCTCTGCAGGGCTGCCCTGTTACAGAAGCAGGCGAGGGTGGAGGACAGACTGGTCTATCTGTCCTCCCCACCCCACCCCGAGGGGCACGTGGTGGAGGCAGGTACCCAGAACTCTGAAAGAGGTGCTGAGGGAGCACAGAGCTTCCAATCTTCCTCTGTAAGTTTGGGGATGAGTGAGAGGCTGCTCTGCCTAATGCTGTGGGGCCTTGAAGGAGACCTGCTTCTTTCTGTGCCTTGGTTTCCTCCCCCACCCCCACCCCAGGCTCACTCTCACTAGAAGCTGAGGCCTCCAACTACCCCTCACCCCTTGTTTCAAGGGAAGCCACTTTGCAAGTCACTCACCCAGAGCCGTTTAGATAGGCGCGTCCTGTGTGGGCTGGTGGCAGGAAATGGGCTCCTCTGCCTTCAGGGGAGGGGGAGCTGCTAAGGGCCAGCCCCTAGGCTGGAGGAGACCGCCTGACCTCCTGACCTGATGATCCAGCTGGGCTGTTTGCCTAGGAGGTGGCAAGGCTGGGCAGTTGTTTGTGTTTGGTAGAATAGCCAGGCTGGGTGGGTGGTGGGCACCTTTTGCTAAGGCAGCCTCGGTCTGTAAAGTATCACCCTCCCTCCCGCCTTCCCCCTCAAGGGCTAGGACCCAGGAGCCAGGGAAGAGTGCGGGCTCCAGAGGGCTCCCCAGCCACAGCCCTCTGTCTCCCCTGGGCCAAGCAGCATCTGTGGCGAGTTGACCCCTGGCCTCCAGCAGCCGGTCTTCCCCCCAGGCTTGCCCCAGGAGACTGAGTGCAGGCCAGCCTGGGAAGGGCCTGGCTGGAGCTCCTTGGGCCCGGTTAGAGGGAATGGGGGCCACAGGCAGGCAGTACCCAGCCCTGGGCCACTCTTCCCCGAGTCTTGGGCAGTTTATTGGTCCTAGGCATTAACAGACTCTAAAGACATCTCAGTGAAATTACCCGTCCTCCCCGCTAGTCATGGAGGCATGGAGACCATGCCACAGAAGGGTTAAGAAATCTTCCAAAAGTCCATCAGTAGGCCATTTATAAGCTAGGACCCCAGCCTCGGCATACCTTTTGCTCAGGCCCTTTACCTTCCCACCAAAGTTAGCCAACCCCAGTGCATCATGCCCACAGCAGGAAAATAACTCAAGCCTAGTCCATGCTCAATCCTTTAAGTATGTAACCAACCAATTGGGAAAATTCCAGCATTAGGTCCAGACCTCCATTATCCAAGATTGAGGAATGACTGAGCAGAGGGCTCCCTTCCCCTGCCCCGACTTGTCCTCAAAAGAAGATAGATAAGCAGTGACTGGCCAGACAATAAAGGGGAGGGACACACCCACCCCCACACACTCCCTTCCCTACAGGGACCAGGAGAGGCCAGTTTGCACCTATTTGTCCCACTTGGGACGTTTCTGCAGAAGGAACTTCAAATTCATTGTCTCCCCATTTCGGTATCAATTTCAACCCTCCCTAGTGGATGCAACCCATTTATAAACATTAAACGTCATTAGAACTTCCAGGTAAATGTGACCCAAAAAAACCCAGCAGTCATAATTTTAGAATATGCCCTTGCAAAGGACAGTGGGTGGGAATCCCTGTCCAAGGTATTAATACTTCCCTTCTGGGCACTATAGCCCCGTCCACCCAGGCGCACACGTGTAGAATTCACACTGACAGAGAGGAATCCCAGCTTAGTGTGTGGCAAGGGGAGAATGTGGCCAGGGTCTAGACCAGATAAATGGAGCCCCCAAGCACATTTGCTCACCTGTTAGTGCTGAGGTCTCAACACAGGCTTCCAGGAAATTGAGTGAGAACAGGAGAGTCAGAGGGAGGGCCTGAGAAATGAGCCGAGCCAAGGAGTGGAGAGGAGAGGCAGGGAGAAGGCAGCGGCTTTCCAGAAGCAGGTGCCCCTCCGTGCTGACAGCATCTTCCCCTGGCTCTCTGTCCCTCTTTCCAGGCCCTCTTTCCCTGGATGCCCAGAAATTTGCCCCGACTGCCCATTAACTGCCTCTGCCCCCATCTCCTAGGTGATGCTTCTGGGAGACTCAGGCGTTGGCAAAACCTGTTTCCTGATCCAATTCAAAGATGGGGCCTTCCTGTCCGGGACCTTCATAGCCACCGTCGGCATAGACTTCAGGGTGAGGTGGCTGTAGGCTCCTGCTGCCAGCAGCAAGCCAAGGGGGCCACAGCTCAGGCCCAGGGTGCTGTCCTCTCCTTGCCTGCCCTGGCTGCTCAGAGCTGCTGTGGCTCTCTGTCCAGAGGGCACCAGGGGTGCTCCCCTAGGGACCACAGAAGTGGCCAGGTTCAAGGAGTCTGAGCATGGTGGGCCCTTGGCCAACCTACGGGATAAGTCTTACAATTCTGTCCCTAGAGCAGGGCAGACACATCCCAGGATGTGAGCTGAGTTTCCTGGCCTTCGGTCCCCTTGCTCTTTGCCCCCTGAGCTGGGCCCCTCTGGCAAGTCCTCAGAGGTCTCCCTGCCTTTCTGGAGTTCCCAGAAGCACAGCACTACACTAGGTTGAAGGGCCAGGTTGGCCCTGTGGGGAGAGAGCAGCTCACCAGTGTCCCTCCCTCTCATCTTGAGGAACCCATCTTTACAGATCTGCAGCAGGGACGCAGCACAAAGCTTCTAGTTCCAGGGAGTAAGGTCTAACCCAGGCTGGAGGGTGGGGGGAGGGAGACTATGCAGACGCTGGGTCCCTCCCTTCCGAAGGGAAGAGAACGGAAGCTTCACTCTGGAGAACTAGTGAGCAGCTAGAGGAAAGCCGACCCTGTGGATCCAGCCTCCACAGTGCTCAGGATGCTGGGGGCATCTTACCTCTAAGGGCTCGCCTGGGAGGGATGGGGCGGAGCTCCAGGAGGGTAGGGGTGGGGAAGAGGGAGGGCTCCCCCTGTGCCCAGCCCTGTGCTGCCTGCTGAGGTCTGGGGAGAGCCAGGCAGGTTCGTGGACTCTGGCCCTGGCACGTTAGCAGACGAGTCCCCAGAAGGGAGAACTCTGTAATGGGGGTATCTCTTCAGCAGGATCCTGCTGCCCTGAAGGGGTGATCTGGCTGGAGATGTCTCTGGGGCTCACCGTACCCCCTTTAGCCCTGGGGAGCGACCGGCAGGATGTCTGCTGCTCAGTAGGATGCCTAGGATCCCAGCCTCCCTTGCTTTCCAAATCCACCCTCTGCCCTTTTCTCTTTCAGAACAAGGTGGTGACCGTGGATGGTGTCAGGGTGAAGCTGCAGGTGAGAAGAGACTGGAGGGGAAGGGGGGTGATGGTGGGGCCCGCCCCTGCTCCTCACCCAAACCACAAAAGGCCCGCAGCCCTGCCCTCCGCCTGGGGCAATTTCCTGTGGGGCCCAGAGGAAACGGCTTTTGTTTGTTTGATGTCTGTTGAAAAAGCGGTTCCCAGGCACCCTCTCTTCTATCCTAGGCAGCTCAACGTGCCTTCAGACAAGCTTCTGCTTGCTTCAGCTCCCCACCACCACCAGTTTCCCAGGCCTCATATGCTCGAGACAGGATGCCCCCCAAATCCTGGGCTAGGGAAGGGGCTATAGCCTGACTGAGCTTGAGAACTTAATAATGCCCCCGGCCAGGACACCGTCGGATGTTCAGAAGCCGCTGAGCACCTACAGCAGGAAACAGCCCACCTCCTCACACATCTCTTACACTCCAGAGTGGGTCTGGAGCCCCTGCACACTGCCTCCTTCTGACCATTTGCCCGTCCTTTCCTAGATCTGGGATACCGCCGGGCAAGAGCGGTTCCGCAGCGTTACCCACGCCTATTACCGAGATGCCCAGGGTGAGTCCTTCCCCGGCCCACTCGCAATGCCCAGCCTTCTGTCCCACATCCCCTGTGTGATCTCTCTTTCCACCTGCAGCCTTGCTCCTGCTGTACGACATCACCAACAAGTCCTCCTTCGACAACATCCGGGTAGGTCTCCTCCACAGGCCACCCAGAAACAGCCCGGGCAGGGCCTCTGCGGGCCGGGGGCTACTTCCTGCTTTATAGGGAGGGGGTGGAGCACGAAACACCGCTGCCTTTTGAAAAACACCTGAGCTGTGACTCAGAAGTAATAAACTGCTCCTGGGCAGCACGTGGACATGTTGGGTGCCAGTGCCACCTGCTTAGCCCTGCCCATGATTCATGAGTGCATTTCATGACAAAGTGTTCAGAAAGTACCCAGCTCCACCCTGGACAATTACCCACAGAGGCCAAGGGAAGAACCCACACAGGAAAGTCTATCCATACATCCAGCCCAGGCTGCAAGAAAGTGATTCAGGCAGTGAGCAGTTCTGTCCCCACCAAACTATTAAGAGAGTAGGGATAAAAATTCAACAAGTACAAGCACTGACTGTGTGCACAGCACCATAAAGTTTTCACAGCTGCCTGACCTCAAGGGGTTGCTGGGCAAACAGGGGTGAGGTAGGGGGAGGAACCAGAACATATGGATATAAAGCAGCTTGTAAAGAGGATGGAAATCTGTGGCACCCATTGCCACCTCTGACTTCATGCTCCTGGTAGACATCACTAATGGATCACAGTATTTTTGATCACTGAGCGCTGATGCGTCCTTCGAATCCTCAATGGGGCACTCCAGGAAATCGCTGGTGACTCCCAGCTGATTTATGAGATAAACTCTGCCATCTCCATCTACTATAGAATGGGGAGTTGCAGTGTTTGGGGTTGGCTGGGAAAGACTGATCAAGGCTGGAGAGGCCAGAACAAATATGCAAATAAGAGAGTTCAGGGAGGACAGTGAGTAGCCCAGGAAAACCAACAGGACAGAAGAAGGGCAGGGGAGAGGGAGGAGAGAAGGGCTGGGTCTCAGACATGGCCTGGCTCGGCTCATGGTCTCCCACAGGCCTGGCTCACTGAGATTCATGAGTATGCCCAGAAGGATGTGGTGATCATGCTGCTTGGCAACAAGGTGAGCGAGCCCATCCCCGCACCGCCTGCCCCACTGCCCACCGCTCGCTCCACCCAGCCCCATAGCTGCCCCAGAGGGTTAGGTGGACATCCTTCCAGCACAGGTTTCTTTCCAGACTCCCCAGCAAAGGTCAGACTTATTGGCAGCTTCAGCCCACCTCTTAAAGCTTTGGAAATGGCCCCCTCCAGGGAAAGTCCAGGTGCTGTCTGAGAGATCCAGGGATGCCCAGCTGCTCAGCCTCCAAAGATCATAGTAAGCAGGGTCACACACAAGGAGCTAAAACTAGCAAGGGTTAGTCCCAACTACTGTCACCCTTCTGAGGCTGGTCACCACACCCCTGCAAAGAAGAGTTTCCCATCTTACCAAGTGGCAGGGAGATCCTCTGGCTGGGAGCTGGGTAACTCAGCCTGAACCCTGCCTGGGGGCCAATCCTCACCACCTGCAGTCCCACAGGCTACCAGCAGAGGGCAGTCAGTGGCTGCTCCTTGGGCAAAAGAAGGGCCAGCCTGGGCAGGAGAGGGGCCATCTGGGGTGGAGGTTTTCTTCCCCAGAGTGACCCACCTGGACTTGACAGGCAGATGTGAGCAGTGAAAGGGTGATCCGTTCAGAGGACGGAGAGACACTGGCCAGGGTAAGTGACTGCCATTGGGCAGGGTGAAGAGGTGGGGGTGGCCAGAGGCTGGCCCTGAGGACATTCTCTTCCTGGCAGGAGTACGGCGTCCCCTTCATGGAGACCAGCGCCAAGACGGGCATGAATGTGGAGTTAGCATTTCTGGCCATTGCCAAGTAAGAGCTGAGCAAGGAAGAGAACCGTGCAGGGCAGGGTGGCACCATCTGGGAATCCAGTAGGGCCTGGCCCCTGGCCCAAGCACATTGTGCATGCTACGTTCAGTAGCCCCAGGCCGTGGGAGTGGGGAGGGTGCAGCAGTTCACTCCCTGCCCAGCCCACTGCTTCTTCCTCTTCAAGGGAACTGAAATACAGAGCCCTGTGGCGGCCGGATGGGCCCAGCTTCCAGATCCGAGACTTTGTGGAGTCCCAGAAGAAACGGCCCAGCTGCTGCTCCGTCTTGTGAATCCCAAGGGGCAGTAAGGGGGCTCCGGAGGCCCCCATGAATGCAGCCTTCTCCCCCAGATCTGGTTTATTCTGAGAGGCTGGGGGTTGGGGGGACCCAGTGGACAGCCCCTTCCCAAGTGGGAGCTGTACTCCCACCTCTGCTCTAGTTCCTGTAGCTTCCCTGCATCCTGGGGGAGGGTAAAATATTTATTTCATCCTAATGATACATAATGTAATACAAAGACGGAGGGAGGGGGGAGGCGGGGCCCCAGAAAACCAAGGCAGGGACCTGGTGGCCCTTTGCCTTCTGGTACTTGGACTCAGGGGTGGGAGGCTCCCTCCTAGCCTTGACAAGGGTGGTGTTGCTCCAGCTCAGCACCAGAGGGCAGTGATGCACTTCTGCAGCTTGACGCCAGGAAGTGACCCCATCGTCACCCTCACCTCAACTTGAGAGGTTAAGCAGACCCCAACTTTCATTTCCTCCAGCTCCCCGGGAACAGTCTTCCCCAGTAAGATGGGCCCGTGTGCCAGGAGCCAGACCAAAGCTCAGGGAAGAGATGTGGAGATCGGGCAGTGACCGGGCTCTGTGGGTGCAGGAGGGAGGAGTGGCCCAGACTAGGTCTCTCCATGTGGCTGCCTCTGGCTTTCCTAGTCCCCCTCTGGGACGTGTGCCCCTTTTCCTTGAGCCTACAAGCTAAAAATGTTTCGTTCCTGTTCCCTGGACCTCGGGTCCTGAGGGAGCCCCACCTCCCGGAATCTCTGTCTTCTCTACCCTTTTGCTTGTGCACCTAGACACCTGAGGTCACAGCCAGGGAAAGGTTTCTCTCCTATCCCAAACAGGATAAGCAGGTATGCAGCCCCACAGGCTACTTCCAGCAGCTACAGTGCTTCTACTGGGTTAAGAGTCAGATAAGGAGATATCTCCTGGAGCAGATGGGAGGCAGACCTGAGCAAACCTCATCCCACCCCACATAGCCCCCCAAACCCAAGCGCTGTCGCCTCCCTGACCACTCATGCCTTTTCTCTTCCAGACACCAAGGCCAAAACTGCTCCATCTCCCCTCCCACTGAGCCAAGTTAGGGAGTGAGAAGTCACCCATTTCTGGGTAAACCAACACAGTGTGCAAAACAAGGTCATTTGGGTAAGACTGGGCCGAGGAGAGAGGTAGCAAGGAGTTTATGTGGGGCCAAGGTCACCAGACTTCTCCCAGCGACCTGACTGCAGCAATCGGAGGTGGACAGGAGACGTGCAGGTCTTGACCTGGAGGCACCTTTACTCTAGTTCTCCAGGCCAGGGGACAAGGGAGAGGAGAGAGGAAGTACACACGTCACATTTCTAAGGCTACTGTATCTGCTTTCAAGGCAGAAATCTTGCTTTCTGAGCAGAGTCAGTGGCTCCAACTTGGGTGCGATAAGGTAACTCTCCGAGGCTTCTCCCAAGAGAAGCAGAGAGGAGCCTGACCTTGCTGGGCTCTTCTGGGGCCCAAGACAGGTCACAGGCGACCGAATCACATGGGCTGCACTTGTGTTTTCAGAAGTAAATTGCCGAATTTGGAGTATACCCTGTCCACTGCTTCTTTGAGGTGTGCATGGGGAGGGGACATGTTGAAATGATGCATGTTGGGGGAACTGTCACTGCCCAAATCATTTGATCCTCATCCTCCAATGCCCCCAACTGCTCACCTCACCCTTAACTGACTGGCTCCCCAGCCTCTCCTCGGCTTAGAGCTGAAAGGAAAGGTTTATCTTACGGTCCCATTCAGGTTTTTTTTTTTTCTTTTGAAAAAAAAAGCCAGGGCTGCTTACCCTCCGCACGCTCGACTCAGAGATTGGATACCTGACTCTGTTCTGCCTCTCTTCCCCCACTTCCCTAGCCAAACGCCGACGCCAGTGTTCATACCCTTGTCCTAGGTGGCCTGTCCTCAGTGGGCAGACCCGGAGAAGCCTGGGGTCCCTGCTGAGCCCTCACACAGGCCCAGCGAGGATGAGCCCGCACCCCCTGTAAGCGTGTCCTTGGACAACGCAAAGTGACTCCACGAACGGGAAAATGTCGTTGTTCCAACAACTTTGTTGGGTCGGAGGTGCACCTCGTCCTGTTCGTTAAGACTCCTGGGACCCCGGGGGCGCCTGGGTGGCTTAGTCGGTTAAGCGTCCGACTTTCACTAAGGTCATGATCTCAAAGTTCATAGGTTCGAGCCCCGCATCGGGCTCTGAGCTGACTGCCAGCTCAGAGCCTGGAGCCTGTTTCAGTCTGTGACTCCCTCTCTCTCTGACCCTCCCCTGCTCGCGCTGTCTCTCTCTCTGTCTCCTAGAAAAAAAAAAAAATTAAAAAAAAAAAAAGACTTCTGGGACCCCGCAGCCCCAGAGCTGGAGCGGTTTCCCCAGCAACAGTCCCTCCCAACCCCCCATTGGAGAGCACACAAGGTTTTAGCTAAAGGCTGTTAAAACGTTAAGAGTCCTTTACCCAGAGGTTGGCTCCCCTCAATCCCCGCCAAAGGTAGGAAAACCAGAACTGAGCCTAAGGGCCCCTCCGCCCAGTACCAGGAACTCGCCCCGCCCTCCCGCCTCAACTCCGTCCACTTAGTAACAAACACTTCCACTTCCTGAGCCTTCTTTCTTCTTGCGCCGCGGGGCGCCGCGCCGAGCACGGGGCCCCGCCCCTGAGCGTTCCAATTGGTCAGCGTTATTCACCCGGCCCGAGCGCCCTTGTCCGTGGCTTCTGATTGGGCCTCGGTGTCCACACCCTCGGCGCGACCCCGCCCCCGGAATAAGGGGCTGGAGCAGCTTCGGGAGCGCTCAGACGCCGCGCGGGGTGGGGATTGGTCCGCGCGCTCCGGCCTCAACTTCTAGCAGTTCGCGGCCGCGACTCGCCGCACACCTGCTGGTTCAGCCGGTCTGACGGCGCGGGGATTCCCTCCTGCGCTCCCTCCCGCCTGCCGGTCCACGGGGCGGAAAGAAGGGCTGGACCGTCCAGCCCCCAGCCCCCAACGGGACCCCGCGTCGCACCACTGAGCCGGGCGAGATGAGCGCGGACGCGGCGGCCGGGGCGCCCCTACCCCGGCTCTGCTGCCTGGAGAAGGGTCCGAACGGCTACGGCTTCCACCTGCACGGGGAGAAGGGCAAGGTGGGCCAGTTCATCCGGCTGGTGGAGCCCGGTTCGCCAGCCGAGAAGGCGGGGCTGCTGGCCGGAGACCGGCTGGTGGAAGTGAACGGCGAGAACGTAGAGAAAGACACCCACCAGCAGGTGGTGAGCCGCATCCGCGCCGCGCTCAACGCCGTGCGCCTGCTGGTGGTTGACCCCGAGACAGACGAGCGGTTCCAGAAGCTGGGTGTCCAGATCCGGGAGGAGCTGCTGCGAGCCCAAGACGGGCCCGGGCAGGCCGAGCCGCCGGCCGCCACCGAGGCGCAGGAGGCTGGCAGCGAAAATGAAACGCAGGCGGCCGCGCCGGAGCCGCACGAGGCGGAGAAGAGCCACCCGGAGCCAGTAAGTGCGGGCCGGGACCCGGCGGCGACTGGAAAGGGGTGTGGGAGGAGGGGATAGGGAGAGACCCAGGCGCCCCTCGGACGCCCAACCCCGCGCCTGCCTTGTCTTTCTGAAACTAGATCCTCGAGCAGGAGACTGCTTCCGCCCGCCCACCGACAGGTCAAACTGGCAGTTGCAGAATTGGGGCTGCGTCCCGCCACCCCCACGCCCCTCCCTCCCCAGACTGGGCTGGGACCCTGAGCGCCTTGCCACCTGCACTTCTTGTCCCTTGGCTTTTGGGAGTGGGGGTGAAGGAGGGCGGCTCAGGGGGGGTCCAGTCCCCCTTTCTCGGTTCTGTTGGCGGTGTCTGTTCCGTTCTTTGGAACCCCCCAATCCCTCCCCACCTCGGCCACCCGACTCCCACACGACTGCCAGCTTCCTCCAAGGTCCCTGTGGGTGAAGGGACCGCCTCCCCGATTTCAAAAAGCAAGAGGAGTAACAGCCCCTTTCCTGTGCCGAACCCCGGCACAAGGAGGGGAGGGGTCGCCCACAGGCTTCTCCCCGCACCTCCCCCCACCCCCACCGGCTGGTGTGTATCATTAACCTCAGCCTGGTGGACTTCATGCTCCTGAAGTACAGTGTGACTTTTAAGAAGAGAGGAAGCCCAGCCATCTCAGGGCGAAGTGTGGGGGTGGGGTGCGGGGAGGAGGTGCAGAGGCGTCTCGGAGGTGGTGGCGGCTCTGCCACCCAGGAGGATTTATGAGTCTCAGGAATGTGAGGAGTAAGCTCTGGCTTGTATCTGGGAATGGGAGGGGAGGACTTTGGAGGAAGGGAAAGGGCTGGGGGGAGGGGGGGAGAGTGGTCCGGTGTCCCTGGGCCATGCTGAGTCCAGCAGCACTCACCAGGGGTAAGTGGTCTTGCCCTGTCATCATCTTGTCTCTCTCCAGTTTCGGACACGAAACAGACTCATTACTTTTTGCCCTTGTTTGGGGTTTCCCCAAACGATCCCAGTTTGGGTCAGCTGCAGGAAGGGCAGTAGCAAAACAGAAGTTGTGATGAGAGCCTCCTGTCCCCAGGGAGTGAAGGGGGAGGCCTTGGGGTGCAGATTGTGGGGAGCTGGGCCTCTCAGGGCCCCTTTGGCTTGCACCAGCTCTCCACCTGGTGGCAGCCTGTGGCAGGAGTATCCATGGTGCCAGCAGAAGCCTCCCTGGACAGAGAAAGGGCACCGTTCAGCCTAAAGGTAGAAGGTGGAGCCGGAGAGGACCAGCTGGTTTGGTGGAAGTGAGGTCACCAGGAGCCCCATCCAGCCAGAGCTGGGTGCTGGGAATACCAGGGCCGCCAGGCTCCCACTTCCTGCCACTGCCAAGCTGGCATTGGCAAGGGTGGGGGAGGGGTGGGAGCATCCCTGACAGGGGCTTGACACCACGGAGTTGGAACCCATGACCTCTGGTCCCAGGCAGAAATCCAGTTTGAACTTTGTGCTGAGCTGAGTGCATCAATTTGCCATCCCCCCTCCTTTTTTTTTGGACTTTGGCACTGGCACAAGTAACCACCTCCCCACCCCCCATCCCCCGCCAAGATGCAGTTATGTTCAGCTCCTCCCATTGCCCTTTCAGTGTTTTTTTTTTTTTCTTATTTGCTGCTGGGTGGGGAGGTGGATGATGCCAGGGACATGGAGACTTGACCTAGCACATTCACTCCCACCACGCCATCTGAAAAAGCAGCGGAGCTTAACTTCCTGCTTTCTAGGTGACCACAGAATCCGATTCCCCCAGATGGTCATGTGACATCGCATGTGTGCATGCTCTATTCGGCCAGGAGACTCCAGCCAGTCCTGGGGATACCATCACCAGGCCTCTTGGGGTTTCAGGTCAATAGGCAAGTCACAGAACTTGTCTGAGCCTTGGTTCTCCCATCTGTAAAATGGGGTGCATTGTAACAGTGACACCTGCCTTCTCTAGAATTTTACAAATAATGGGAAGTATACTCTGGCCCCGAGTGGATGCTGAATTGAGCACCTTTCTTTCTGCCCAGGCGTTTGTGCAAGGACTCTCATCTTCCTGCATAGCCCGTGCCTCTGGTAAGAAATTCCCATGAACCTCTGGTACCGTGGCCATGCAAGTGACCCACCCTTGTCCTTGCAAAAAAAAAAAAAAAAAAAAGGAAAAAAGTTAATAAACATAGTAAGAGTTATTTTTTTTCCCTAAAAGACATTTCATATAAAGATTTTGAGTTTTACTAATTAGTTTTAACCTGAATTTGTTTGCAGAGTGGGGGCTGTTAGGGTACCTTCGTTGGCTCTCACAAGCAAAAAAGTGTTATATGGGAAAGTGCTGTGCAGAGAGCAGGTGACCTCTCACTGGGAAGACCAGGCTGGGTCGAGAACCATACAGGGCAGAGGGTGCAGGGTACCTGTAGTGCTGTTCTAGGGGGAGGGGGAGGGGACGTGCATCTCTGCCCGCCTGCTTTGTTGATGGCTTTCCCCACCCCCTCGGAGAGAGGCCCAGCAAGCCCCTGCTCACAGCCCCCACAGTCACAGCGGTGGATGGGCAGGCCTGGGCCACCTCAGCTGTACTAAAGGGCCACCTTGACCCATGTACTTAAGACCTTTCTAGGCCTCTGTTTCTTCTTGTGTAAGGTGGGAGCATAACAGCTTCTACCTGGGGTTGGGATTCCATGGGGAGGTCTGGAAAGCCTGGCACTAAGTAAGTGCTCAGCAAACGTCACTGTTGGTATTTGAATCAATAAGTATTCCCCCAGTGATTGTTGCATACCCACCCATGGGGCAGCCAGCCCTGGATCTGCCTCTGCTTGGGCAAGTGCATCTGTGTCCCAGCCTAATGCTCAGTGAGAGGCCACTGTTCTCGAAGAAATCAAAAGGTGTTCCACAGCCCATCCCACTACAGCAGCCTGAGGATACCCTTCAGCCTGGGGACTTGTCAGTCCCCTTCTCCAGAGGCACACTCTCCGAAAACCACTCACAGCCCCGTGGAGCCTTTCCTTCACTCTGCAGGCAGAATGACCATTTTTTTCCTACAAAGTTTGTTCTTTTTGAGAGTGAGCATGAGATTGAGCCAAGGAGGCTTAGAGAGAGGG